CAGGCAATCCACTCACCTCAGCCTCCCAAGGTGCGGGATTACAGGCTGAGCCACCGAGCCCGAATTATTTACCATTTTTTAATGTGGAGTTACTAATAATCCTTATCAGATATTGCCTTTAGAGAGCCATTTGAAGGACTAACAAAGCCTCTTTAGGGTCAAACTCATTATTCAGACCCTTCAGGTAAAAATGATTTACTTTTGCTTTTTACCTAGACAGATGAAAATATTTATTTTATGTAACAGGTTTTATAATATTCAATTACATTGGCTTAAAGTTTTCTATCATACTATGTGCAGATTTGAAAATAGAAAGATGAATTTTGTTTTAATAACAGAAACGTGATGCTGAAATAGCAAAAACCATGATGGAAGAACATGAAAGAGTAATAAAAGAAGAAAATGCTGCAGAAGACAAACGACACAAAGTAAAAGCGCAATACTATCTTGACTTAGAGAAACAACTTGAGGAACAAGAGAAAAAAAAGCAGGAAGCATATAAGCAGTTGCTAAAAGAGAAATTCATGATTGATGAAATTGTTAGGAAAATCTATGAAGAGGATCAACTGTAAGTTTGTTACAATTTCTTGTAATACCAACTTTCTTACATTCTAAACATTTATTTCATATTTACCATAGACTTGTTTTGAGTTGATAAAGCATCTAGCTTAATATATAGTAAATGCTCAATAAATGTTAGCTACGATCACATAAATTGAAACCAACTTTTTTGTCATCTTTGTTAGTATAATAAGTGAATTATCTGACAATTAATGAATGCTTATTAAGTGACTAAATGATCTAAATCTTTGTTTTCCTTAAATATGCCTACATCATGGGATCAGCTAGTGGAGAAGGGAGGGAGGGAGGAGGGACGGGGCCGGATGGCCACACTGGGTCCACTGTCAGGAGGAGAGAGGGCCAGCTAAAAGTCCACACTTCACCTGCATGCAGGCTACTTATGTAGTAAATTCTCAATTGAACCCCACAACTCTTAAGTTAAAAAACTTTAAAATAAATAAGTATATCTATACCATATGTCAGAGGACATATTTTCTGACGAATTTCCTTGGTAGATGGCTTAACTATAGAATACTGCAAGTCTTATATTAACAGATAGTGGCCGTGATGAAATGAGATGCATAAAACTTCATTGATAGTTTAGAGGAGAAGCATAGTTGCATTTTACCCAGAGAAAATTCATACCTGGTATTATATTTAGTGGCACATAGTAGGCGTTCAAAATGTTTGTTGCATGAATTAATGAAAAAACTGTAAATGGGAAAGGTGTTTTCCTTACATTATTATCAACAAAAAAAAATTACTTTTTATTTTGTGATATTTTATTATCATTTTTGTTACTATAAAACTACACCTACTATTGCTTTCTAGAGAAAGACAACAAAAGTTAGAAAAAATGAATGCAATGCAAAGGTATATAGAAGAGTTTCAGAAAGAGCGGGCTCTCTGGAGAAACAAGAAACGTGAGGAGATGGAAGAAGAAAACAGAAAAATCATAGAGTTTGCCAACATGCAGCAGCAAAGAGAAGAAGATCGGATGGCAAAAGTTCAAGAAAATGAGGAAAAAAGGCTACAGCTTCAGAATGCAGTATGAAAACTTCTTTAATGTTGATGACATTCTGATATATTAGTTATAGAATTTGGGTCCCATAAATATTTGTGTGTTTTTTGTTCAATTTAATAGTTGACTCAGAAATTGGAAGAAATGCTGCGGCAACGTGAAGATTTGGAACAAGTGCGACAAGAATTGTACCAGGAAGAACAAGATGAACTATATAAGAAGAAACTAAAAGTAAGTTTCAGAAATTGAAAGAATGATGAACATAGAGAGGAATATAATGTTGAGATGAAGCAGTAGAAAGATAGTAGATTTAAATCCAGTCATACTGGTAATTCACAAACTGCATCATAAAAAGCATGATTCAACTATGTTGTCTACAGTAATCACAATTTAAATATGAAGACATAGTTTAAAAGCAAAAGAATGGATAAAGATATATAACATTGCAGACACTAATTAAAAGCAAGTTGGATATCTATGTTATCATGGGACAGAGTCAACTTTAGGACAAAGAATTCATGATGATAATATAGTAAATTCATCTAGAGAATGTAACAGTCCTAAAGGTGTAGGAACCTAAATAATAAAGCTTCACAATACATGAAGCAAAACAGACAAAACTGAAAGGAAAAATAGACAAATCCACAATCAGAGTTCAAGATTTTAATAATCCATTCTCATTAATATATAGACTAACTAGTCAGAACCATAGGCTACAGTGTTGAAAACAGTATCAACAAACTTGATCTAACTAAAATTTAGAGAATATACTACCCAACAATAGCAGGATACAAATTCTATTCAAATACATAATGGAACATTCACTGTGATAGATCATATTCTAGGATATAAAGTAAGTGTCAATAAATTTACAAGGTTTTAAATCATACCAAATATATTTTCTGACTACAGGAGAATTAAATTAAAAATCAGTAATGTAAATAAACCTGCAAAATCCTTAAGTATATTAAATGAGGCTGAATGTGGTAGCTCACGCCTGTAATCCCAGCACTTTGGGAGGCTGAGACAAGAGGACTTGCTTGAGCCCAGGAATTCAGCACCAGCCTAGGCATTGTAGTGAGAGCTCGCTTCTACAAAACACAATTAAAAAATTAGCTAAGCTTGGTGGCATGCGTCTGTAGTCCCAGCTACTTCAGAGGCTAAGGTGGAAGCATCAGCGAGACCAGGAAGTCGAGACTGTGGTGAGCCATGATTGTGTCACTGCACTCCAGCCTGGGTGACAGATTCAAAATAAACAAAAATTGTATGTATACACATACACGCACGCACACACACATACACACACACACACATATGTATATATGTATAATAATTAAACAACATACCTTTTTTTTTAAAGGTGTGAGGTACAATTCAGGGTTAGGTATACAAATATTCATTATGCAAGTACCCTTGTTGATGAAGTGTGCCCCTTCCTCCCCTGGCAATTTCCCTCAACTGCCAATCCTACCCCCCCTTCCCCTAGTAGTTTCTCACTACTGCCAATCCCTTTCTTATAATATTATGATAATTGTTCAAGGTCCATTTATGAGTGAGAATATATGGTACTCTGTTCTTTGTTTCTGTGATAGATCACTCAGTGTGAGATTTACATCCAAGTTGATGTGAAGTCCGTATGTTTGTCCTTCTTTTTGGCTGCATAATATTCCATTGTGTATAGCTACCATATTTTTTTTATCCAGTCCAGCTTCGATGGGCAGCATGGTTGGTTTCATGTTTTTGCTATTGGAAACAGAGCTGCAACAAACATGTGTGCAGGTATCTTTTTTGTAGAATGATTTGAGTTCCTCCGGGTATATTCCCAATAGGGGGATTGCTGGGTCATATGAAAGGTCAATTTCTAGTTCTTTCAGAAATCGCCACACTGTCTTCCAAAGAGGTTGCACTAATTTGCATTCCCAACAGGAGTGTAGAAGTGTTCCTTTTTCTCCGCATCCTCACCAGCATCTGTAATTGTTTGTTTTATTAATGTTGGCCATATTTACTGGGATGAGGTGGTATCTCTTTTTTTTTTTTTGAGATGGAGTCTCACTCCTTCATCCAGGCTGAGTGCAGTGGCACGCACGCTCATGGCCACCCCAGTGTCGACCCGCTGGGCTCCAGGTGATCATTCCGCCTGAGCCTTCTGAGTAGCCAGAACTACAGACACGTGCTACCACGCCCAGCTGTTTATTTTATTGTAGAGACAGGTCTGTCCAAGTTGTCTGGACTGGTCTTGAACTTGTGGGCTCAGGCTACCCACTCACCTTGGCCTCCCAAAGTTCTGGGATTACAGGCTGAGCCACCAAGCCTGGCCGAGGTGGTATCTCAGTGTGGTTTTGATTTGCATTTCTCTGATGGTGAGTGAGGCTGAGCACTTTTTCATATGTCTGTTGGCTGCCTGTATATCTTCTTTTGAGAAGTGTCTATTCATGTCTTTTGCCCACTTTTTAATGGGGCTGTTTGTTTTTTTCTTTTCAGTGCATTTGAGTTCCTCATAGATCCTAGATGTTAGGCCTTTGTCAGACATATAATTGGCAAATATTTTTTCCCAATCTGTGGACTGTCTCCTTGCTTTCTTAATGCCTTGCAGAAGCTCATCAATATGATGAGGTCCCACTTCTCTATCTTATTTCTTATGGTATGGGCACTTAGGGATTTGATCAGGAATTGGTTGCCAGTTTCACCTTCCCTAATGGTATCTCCTGCATTTTCTAAGATTCTTATAGTTTAAGGTTTTACGTTTAGGTCTTTGATCCATTTAGAGTTAATTATTGTGTATGGTGATAGGTAGGGGTCCTGTTTCTTCTGGATACCCCTGATTACCTTCTCTTGTCTAATTGCCCTAGCTAGGACTTCCAACACAATGTTGAACAAGAGGGCTGAGAGTAGGCAACCTTGTCTTGTTCCAGTTTTTAGGGGAAATGTTTCCAGTTTCTGTCCATTTAGCAATATGTTAGCGGTGGTAAACAATATACTTTTAAATAAGTAGTGAGCAACAAAATCATAATGGAAATTAGAAAAATATTTCAAACTGAAAATCTAATAAATAGCATACTAAAATATGTGGGATGTAACTAAAGCAGTACCTAAAGAAGAGTTTATATCTTTAAATGTGTATATTAGAAAAGAATGGTTAAAAAATTAATGATATTATATTTGCACAAAGACTTGTATATAAAAGTTTATGTAGCATTATTCATAATAGTTAAAAAGTGGAAGTAACCCAAATGTCTGTCAACTAATGAATGGGTAAACAAAATATAGTATATCTACACAATTAATGTTATTCAGCTATAAAAAGAATGATATGCTGATCATGCTAAAACATGGATGAACCTTTAATTATATATTAATTAAAAACAAAATGCCTTTTTACTTAGCTTAATTTCCTAGAAATTCAAGTTGTTGCTTGTATCAATACTTAGTTGCTTTTTATTGCTGAATATTCAAGATTTCATTTGTATGTATGTACCAGCTTATTTGACCATTCGCTCATTAAGGGGCATTTAGAATGTTTCCAGTTTGGGGCTCTTATTAATAAATCTGCTATAAACATTCAGGTATAGTTTTTTATATAAGTTTTCATTTCTCTGGGTTAAATACTCAAGAGTACCTTAGCTGGGTTCTGTGGTAATTACATGTTAGCTTTGTAACAAACTGCCGAACTGTTTTCCAGAATGGCTGTACCACTTAACACCCCCATCAGCAATGTATGAGAGATGCAGTTTCTCTGAATTCTCACCAGCATTTAGTGTTGCCACAGTTTTTTATATTAATTTTGTTTTGTTATCTCTGTTCTCAGAAGCGTATTTTTTTTTTAATTTTAGCCATTTTCAATAGCCATGTCATGATATCTTCTTGTAGCCTGATTTTGCATTTCCTTGATGGCTTATGATGATGCATATCTTTTCATGTGCTTTATCATCCTCTTCAGTTTAATGTCCTCTTTGGTGAAATATTTCTTCATGACTTACTGATTTTCTTCTTAGATTATTTGTTCATTTATTGTTGGGTTTTGAGAGTTCTTTATATATTCTAGATACTAGCCCTTTATCATGTGGGTAGTTTGCAAATATCTTCTCCCATTCTGTAGCTTTGTCTTTTCATAGTCTTTCTTAGAGCAACTGTTTTTAATTTCTGTTAAGTTCAGTTTATAAATTTTTCTTTTTATGGATATTTTTGGTGTCAAATCTGGGAACTGTGCCTAGCACCTGAAGAATTTCTCCTTTTTGTCCTAAAAGTGTTTTTCTTTTGTATTTTATATTTAAGCCTGTGATCCATTTTCAGTTAATTTTTTGTATGATCTATGAGACTAACGTCGAGTACAGTTTTTGCCTTTGGATGTTCAGTTGATCCACACCATTCATTGTAATGGCTGTCTCTTCAACCACAAATTACTTTTGCACCTTTGTTAAAACACAGTTGAGCATATTTGTATGAGTTTATTCCTGGAATTTTGTTCTGTTGATCTGTATATGTATCCCTTCACCAATACCACAGTTTTGATTTCTGTAGCTGTACAAGTCCTCAAAATTATTTTGCTATTTTAGTTCCCTTGCCTTTCCCATATACATTTTGGAACAATCTTATCTCTATAAATAATTTTGCTGGGATATTGATAGAAAGTGCGATAAATCTGAATTATCAATTTGGGGAGAATTGATATGTTTACTGTAGTAAGTCTTTCAGTTCATAAATTTAGTATGACTCTCCCTTTATTTAGATCTTTAAATTTTTTAATCTGTGTTCTATGGTTTTCAGCATACAAATTTTTTACATGTTTTGCTAGGGTAACATCTAAGCATTTCATTTTTTGAGAAATTACAAATGGAACTTTAATTTTGGTGTCTATGTACTCATTTCTCATTAATTGACTTTTTAAATGTTTATCTTCTATCTTATAACCTTGCTGAATTATTAGCTCTAGGAATATTTTTTTCTTTGTCAGCCATGCCTTTTGCAAATAGGAATAGGCAGTTTCTTCCTTCCCAGTCTATATACTTTTTATTTCTGTTTCTTGCCTTATGCGCTGGCTAAAGTTTTTAGCACAACTGGCTAGCATTGCATTGAATAGAGTGATAAGAGTAGATGTCACCTTTCCTTATTTCTGATCTTATGGGAAAAACGCCTTTTCACCATTAAGCCTAATTTTTTTTCCCTTTATTTTAAAGATGTGGGGTACAATTCAGGATTAGGTATACAAATGTACATTAAGCAGGTACCCTTGT